GCCTGACCAGAAGGCTTTTGCCCAACTTCCCCTTACCTCCCAGGCTGGCCCATCTGTTCATCGGTCAACTTGATGTCACTTGTCATGTTGGAATGTCCAGAATTGGATTGTCTGGATTGATAATCGCTGGAATGCCCTCCGCGGTGTTCCCATGTGTAAACAGCTCTCACCTTTTTGTCTACGAGTTGTGTTCTGCCAGCGGTATAAACAAGTTGACTGCAGCATGTGTGTGTGTCTTCACTTCCGATACTCATTTACTTCCCACCTCCCTCCAGAGAGAGCGAGAGCGACATTAATCCAACAGGCAGCCTGGGCTACTTCAGGCTGTACTCCAGTATATCCTAGTCGTGACCCATAGGTGAATCTGGTTGACCCAGCAATTTTTGTTTGGGCGAGGGGCGCGAAACACTGCTTGCAAGAGTGAAAGCTACAGCTGTACCCTATAAATGCTCGTAACCGTCTTATCAGTAAGCTCATCATGGCTCCTGGGCGCTAAGCAATACGGTTGAAAAAACAGACATTAAACAATAACCCGCTTACTAATCTCCCTGCCTCCCGAGAGTGACAGCGCTTGTCAGAAACGGGAAACATCCTGTGACAATGTCACTGTCTGCCGCAGAGTTCTGGATTGAATATCGTCTGTAATTACTGCTTAGTTAGTGTAGCCCTTGTGGTAAACCTCCTTGTTGAGCAATCCTGCATCCCGACTGTAGGGCATAACCCATGTGTGGCATGCACAGATTTGAATTCAACTCAGTCGACCATTGTACTTATTAGGGGGTTTGGCAGATTTGCTTAAATTCATTTGAGCCAATTGTGGAAAATTCGTGATCTCGGTGGGAGTCGAACCCACACAGCAGGGAAGGCTTTTGCGCAGCCAAAGCCTATGAGGCTCACGGTGAGCCGTGAATTTAATCACACTTGGGTCGATTTATCCGCCCATTCACTGCTCGTATGGAATCCACCATTACGGATACAGTAAGTTAACCGTCTAGGCAGGAATTCCAAGCAATTTTACTTGGGTCTGCCCCGTTCTTTTGATCTACTGTCAGCCGGAAAACGGTGGGCGTAGAAGAGAATTACGTACATTAGATTCCCTATCTCATGAAACGTCACCCGGAATTCTGAAATGAGTTTTTAATTGGAACATATTGATTGCGGATGGTTGTAACAGAGACGATCGTACAGCATCATCTCAGCATATTTTTAACACTTCTGGATGCCGGCTTTTTAACGAGCTTCTTTTTGACCTCCAGGAAAGAGTATGTACTGCAAAAAGTAACTACTTAAGTAGTATGCCTTTTTGTCATTGATTTTGACTGCCTTTATAGATTCAAATATGTTTTTGGAAAACATGCACGAAAAAAATTATTTCTTGTACTCGTTTAGTAGCAAATTACAACTTCTTTACATTTTATACTTAAAGAAAGGGTATCTTTCGGTTTTAAAAAAGTTTCTAAATTGCCGAATAATTTGGAAACCTAGTGACTGCTACACTGGAGTTCAAGGTTTACAAACTGCGA